ACATACATACATACATATATATATATATATATATATATATATATATATATATATATATATATATCTGTGCTCGTTTTTATACTTCTGACAAATGTGGCTACTTTAGTAATGCTTTTCTGGCAGCTGTTTCAGTTTGTGTTCCTTTGATTTTTTTTTTAATGCTAAATGTAAACCTAAGAGCATGTGATTTTTATGGAACAATTTCTTTAAACAAGCCCCTGAGGTCTTGTTACATCTCTCCATAGAGAATTAAGTCTGTGGAAAGGAAGCAAACCAGGTAGCTGTTAATTTTTTTTCCCCAAACTGAATTCATGCTTTATTCATCCATCTCTGCTTGTGTGGGTGTATAAGAAAAATGTGTTTTGTATTGTTGAATAGTGGTATTGGGTTGTAGAAAGTAACTGGAAAGGGGTCTTTGTATCAGCTTTCGCTTGCCTTTGTGTGATTTGTAGTGTCTTGGCAGATGGTAGCAACTGACTCAGAAGCAAGGCTGAATTTGTTTGGTCTACTTGGGTGGGAGGCCATCAGAGAATCACAGAGCTGTAAACTACACTGGAAAAGTCTAAAACTTTGTAATAGAAAATGGTGACAAATCATTTCTGTACTATGGTCAAAGCAGCAAGATCATACCTTTTAATCTGTTAGTTTTATGTCTCACCTTTCTTCTGAAAGTTCAGAGTGATATATTTGTTTATTTATTATCTGTATATTTTTATGAGTTCAAGGTAGCATACATAACCCTCCACCCTCTATTTTCCCTCACAACAACAATCCTATGAGAGGTTTGGCTGAGAAACACTAACTGAACCAAAGTCAGTCAATCAGCTTCACTGCCTGAGGGTGGACTTGAAGCTGTGATTTCTCAGTCCTAATCCAACATCTTAACCATTGCACCACACATATACAGTAAGCATCAAGATCCATTTGAGAACATTTTCAGCTGTGTCTAAAGTACTCTGTGAAACATATTGAAATGGGTTTTTTTAATTTTTGTAACACTGGTTTATTCAAAATAGTAAGAAAAGAGAACTCAAAATGTGCCTAGTTGTTTTTGTGCTGATCTATAATTTTTGTAAAGAAAATTACTTGGGGCTTTTAGACCGATGTTTGATTCCTGCTGGCTTGGTAAGTTAGTTCCAGCAGCAACTTTAAAAAGTTTCTAGAAAAGGGAGCTAACTGGTAAAGGCTGCATTTTGTTTTTTGTTTTTATCTGGGAAAAGTGTCTTAGCAAACACCTCAAGATGAAATGTTATAGAATTGAGGAAAAGCGGGTACCAACAGAGTCACTTCCATTATAGACACTGACATCTGTGCCCAAATGCTTGCACCTTTTGAACTTCTTCCTAATAATTGGCATTCTTTATTTCTGCGCTAAATGAGTTTCCAAAGAGGAAGCACACTGTATGCAACATATGCGTGACTGATCATGCTTTTCTGTAGTAGTACTAATGACTAGTCAGTAATATGCCAGAGCAAGGTTTTTATCATGCAGAGAGGTTACAGAGTCAATCATTACAAACTTGCATATTTAATCCATATGCATGTATGAATTAAATTATGAAGACCCCAGTAGCTTTTTTAAAGCCTTCTATGAATTAAAATGTGATGGTATAACCTAAGGAGAAGGGCCATTTTGTTTTAGGTATAATGGTCTTCAGTCACCATAAGGACAAGGCTCAGAGTACAGTATATGGCTTTCTAGATGTTGAACTACAGGTTTCAGCTCCCCATCTGTTTAAACCAATTTTAAAGGCATTGGGACGTTGTTGTTCTTCTAGGTTCATGTAATGAGTTAACAGGATTTTCAGGTGCATGACCTATGAGCTACATATCCTTAATTCACATCAACACTCAACTATACATTCAGCCTACAGCTTGATACAATTTGTGTGTTTGAGTTTCAATTTTTCTCTCTTATGGAAGGAAATTATTTTTTTGTAAATTTCATAGGCCCTTTATACAGTAAGAGCTAATAAATTGAACAGATTCATGTCTTTTAGAGGAGGATTAAAAAAAAAACTTGATGGATACTTTAACATTTATTTACTATGTTGTCTCAGATCTGGAAATGAATATTCCTTACCAGGACTCATTTGCTCCAGAAATATCCTTAAACCATTTTTTTAAAAATCTGAAAATGAATCGCCCAGTAACACTTTGAATACATAACCTTTTGATTGTACTGTTGCAACAATGTTTGCCAAAGGCTTCCAAACAGGATTTGGTTTTGGATTTGGTTTCTCAGTGAGAACATACTCAAAGTACTATTTTTCCATATAACCTTTTAAACTGGAATTAGTTGTGCTTGAGAAGCCTTCCTAAATAATAGTGTAGTGTAGTGGGAGTGAGAAACTATATGCACGGCTCTTCTTCTTGGTTCCCCCTCCCCCTCTGAATACTACACGCAATTGTGTGTGGGGTTAGTTTGGAAGCACATTATGTGTGTCTAACCGGATGTGTTTGAAGAGATTTTAGATTTCTATTGGAATGATGTTAATATGTAGATATTTAAACTTGAAATTTTAAAAAAGTTGTAGGATGCTTTATTTGGGGAATTAATTCTACCTGGGATGGGGTGGAGGTGGGGGGCAGGACCTAGGGAGGTTAAAAAAAATGAACTGGCAAGTACCAGGTAAGATTATAAAGAAATAAGTTTTAAAATGGTCTTTTGAGATGGGCTAGATAAAAATACATTATTACTTAAGAATTCCAAGATGGTGACTTAAGTGCAAATGTTTTTTTAATTCACAATGTGGTTTGTTTATCTTCGGCTTAGCAGGGCGATGGATTCCAACCACAGTTATATATGAATCATAAATTACACCTTGGCAGTACGGATGAGCTAGGGTAATAACGGCTTATGCAACCAACTCAGACAAAATTACAGGCAGTCCTCGACTTCCAACAATTTGTTTAGTGGCTGTTCAAAGTTACAATGGCCCTGAAAAAAGTGACTTGTGACTGCTTTTCACGCTTATGACCGTTTCAACATCCCTAAAGTCATGTGACCAATTTTGAGACACTTGGCAACTGGTTCATATTTATGACGGTTGCAGTGTCCCAGGGTCACGCGATCCCCTTTTGTGACCTTCTGACAAGCAAAGTTAATGGGGGGAAGCCAGAGTCACTTAACAACCATGTTGCTAACATCACAACTGTGCTGATTCACTTAACAACTGTGATAAGAAAGATCGTAAAATGGGGCAAAACTCACTTAACAACTGTCTGGCTTAGCAACAGACATTTTGGTTTCGGTTGTAGTTGTAAGTCGAGGACTGTATGTCTTGGCATGATATGTGAGTCCAGTTTCTTAAATTAGAAACCTTACTTAGATGTGGTAGCTCCCTCCACATCACTTTTAGAGACATTTGAGCTATCCTCTGGCAGTGGCACCAAAGGCTTATGGGTATTAGAGTATGTGCTTAACAATTCCTGAATGTTTGTTACTCTGCAGCCTTCATGCCTTTCCCTCTGACTGTTTTGCTGGGCTATTGCACCGGGCCGAGACATCACCTTCAGGCTTAGAGTCTGGTGAAAAATCTTGACTAAGGATTCTGGATGCCCACAAGTTGCTGGTGCCGGTAGATGCAGCTTAGTGTCAGAGTGAACTTTGTGGGGAACAGACTGATGGCATTTAAAACTTCCTGCCTTCAAGTGATTATGGTAGATGAAGACATTCATCTGTGGTCTCTACAGGATTACTGTTGCTTTAACTTTTTTTAAACGTAATGTTCCTATTCACAATGGCTTGTTTGGCAATGTTCCTAAGTAAATGTCTTCGCTAACCTGCCGGGCAGCTATTCTGTAATTGCCATTCTTTCCGCATTCTTTTTGTCCTTGAATATGCTGCAATATACTCTTTGTACGTCTTCGAAGTTAAATTCCACGCCTCTTTTTGATCTTAGCTCTAGTGGCATCCATCGTACTGTGGTATATTGCTACATTTTAATGTCCCCCCCCTCCTCTTTTTTTTATTTATGAAAAAAGGCATTAAGGCAGCGTCTCACTTTTAGCTCTAGATGTCTCAGGCTGCAAGCTTTATTATGCTCAGCCAGCATGTTGATGATAGAAATTGTAGTCCAATGCACCTCAAGGGCACCAGATTGGAGAAGGTTGTGCTAAAGGTTGTGATAAAGAAAACCCGACTGCTTTCTGATGCAAAAATTATCGCAGACCCATCTTGCTCATGATGACGTTTAGACTAAAGAGGGGACATTACAAGGACTTTCCTTTGAGGCATTGGCTTTAATAGCCTGCAAACTTGTCGATCCAAGCAAAAGGCATTTTTTTAAACCTCTAGTGACATTAACTCTGACAGGAAATCTGTCCCTCTTTTCATAGATAGCCTTTCCACTTGGCATCCTGAATATTTACTTGTTGAAAAAACAGCTTAGTTGCCTGCTGGGGGGAGGGCTCACTGGCAATAATTATGTAAGTTAAGCTAAGCTGGCCTGCAAACAAGATAGAAGCTGGCCAATATGGAAGGAAATGCAAAGCCTTTGCATTAGCCTGGCTGCTCATTCCTCCCAACTGAATTTTAGCAAGCATCATAGAAAATTGAGGAGGAAAATTGCTATCTCTTATTTAATTAATGTAAGTAAAGGTTCCCCTCACTCATATGTGCTAGTCGTTCCTGACCCTAGGGGGCGATGCTCATCTCCCTTTCAAAGCCGAAGAGCCAGCACTGTCTGATGACGTCTCGGTGGTCATATGGCCGGCATGATTAAATGCTGAAGGCGCACGGAACACTGTTACCTTCCCACCAAAGGTGGTCCCTATTTTTCTACTTGCATTTTTACATGTTACAAGGTTGGCAGAAGCTGAGAAAAGTAACGGGAGCTCACTCCGTAACGCAGCATTAGGGATTCGAACTGCTGAACTGCCAACCTTTCTAATCGACAAGCTCAGCATCTGAGCCACTGTGTCCCCCTTAATTAAAGTATTAATATAATTAATAGTTCCAGTTGGGAGTCAGCCGCTGAATGTAGGGTTTTCTGGGCAGAAAGACCTTGCCATCCAAAAAGCAAAACAGTTAAAGAGGCCAACATCTAAGATCCTATCCTCAGTTGCATCTTACTGCAACACAACTATATCTCAGCAACATCTCTCCACCCCCCCTATTGTGTCCTCACAATATTGGCCTCATAGAGGCAAGTCATTCTTAAAGTAGTACCGTATTGTCCCTGTTATTTTGATACAAGTTTTGCCATGGATTAAATCAGGTGCACCATTTTTTCAGTGGTGCAAAGCGAGGATCTTTGGAGATGGGATCAGCCTAGGACCATTGGCCAATTCAGATTGGTCTGGCATAATTCTTCTACAACAGCTTCTACACTAAACGCTATCTTCTGGACTATTCTGCATTGGGTAGTAGACAATTCCATTTTTTTTCAGGCAGGGTTTCTCCCTGTACCTCTCGGATTGCTGGGCCTGATCATCTGTGGTCTGCCTGAACAGCAGGTGATCAGCAGTGGCAACAAAGGTGGGGCTGCAAGGTGAAGTGAGAAGAAGAGAAATGACTCTTCATTAATTAATGACTTAGCAATAGCAGTTAGACTTATATACCGCTTCATAGGGCTTTCAGCCCTCTCTAAGCGGTTTACAGAGTCAGCATATTGCCCCCA